TCTGCTATTAGAGCATCTTCATTAATGTTCTTTAAATTCCCTAATTCGTTTCATTAAATTCTCTGCTTCCTCTTCGGAAGAATGGGGATTGTATCACTGCGCTTTTCACCTTTCTTCGTCTTCCCTTCTAAATTGCTGTCATACAGCAGATGATATTAAGTTCGAAAAATGTAAGAATTAGTTAGAACAAACTGTAACGAGAGGAAACAAGACCACCCGGATGTAAAAAAAGTGCCGCAATTTCACCATTCCCCACCCTCCTTTTTTTCTCTATTTTTTGGCGTAAAACAGCAGCAACAGTCCACCGCTATCTTTTCTAAAGTGACATTTCCTATCTAAAAGCACTGCCGAAGATGAGTCCGCCGTCCATCATGAACACGTGCCGCGCAAACAAAATGGCAAAATTCGGAAGATCGGACGCACTTCATCTCTTGTTGCCACGCATGCTTGGATAATGATGGATATTTTAACTTCAGCTGCGTGATGGATGCCATCATTTCATGTCGCCTTCGCAAGCAAAATAACAGCAACAACAACAAAACAAAACAAAAATCTGGAATTGCGAACAGTCGTTTCTGCTACAGTTTTGTCTCCCTCTGGCTATCTTTAGCATTCCCTCTTATGAGTCGTGCAGCCCATGATTGATGACTAATTCGATCGCATGCCATTTTTTAGTGCTCGAAAGCGATTGCTTATTTAAAGGAATGGTCACCTCGTGGTCCACTCTTCCCACTTCTTTCCATATGTAATAATATTATCTGATCTTCTCTTAGTGTCATTAATTAGAGAAATATGCAATGAATTCGTAGCTTCAAGGACGGTGGAAGGATCTGCGTCGTTATTTAATCTATAAGCCGGAGTTTGAAGTTAGAAAGTCGAGAATTCATAGCCTGAAACCTTGCACAACTTTCCGTTGTTAATCAACGTGGACAGTGAAAGGATGTCAAAAAAAGAGGGCTTGTTCAATGGTAATTAATTTGCTTAATTTATTGAAGTTGCCTTTCATGATTCAGATATTGGATCATAAAAGGCTTGATATTCGCACACAGATATCTAAAAGCACACAATAAACATGCAATTAATGCCTCACATCCACATCGGAAAATTTTTATTTTGTGCGATTTTACATTTCCTGACGCCCAAAAGCTTCTAGCAACGGGCTCAGTGAATTAAAATCGAGGGAAGGGGAGCGGATGCAGACAGGTTGCTTTGTGCTGCAGATTTCTCAAGACGTTCTTAAATGCCTTAATGCTGACCAAAGATCAGTTACATAAATCATTAGTGAATAAGATATAAATTTATAAATATTTTATTTTGGTAAATCATAAGAGTTCTCTGCTCGACAGGCATGTCTTCATGAAGGGCCTTATCAATTTAACTGGCGAAACATGTGGTAGAAAAAAGGTAAAAATTCACGAAATCTCCCATAAGTCAGCTGTTCTGCCAGCCGGGAGAAAATACCATTGCGTAGTATTCTTGGTCATTTGATCGTTAGTCAGCCATTACCAGCGGAACAACACAAAGTATCATGTATTTTTACCAAACTTTCATTATAACCGTTACTGAACTTGGAGTCAAAAAGGCTTGAAAATAACACTATATGATTTTCTTGTGTTTGCTTGTAGATTTTCTTCATTCCGTTTCCTAAGGGGAGTAAGACCTTCGTGTAGGACTTTCTAAGAGAATCTTGCTATTAATCAGTCAGCCCGTTCCTCCATTTTAACTTAGGTCGAAGCACCGTTACTCTGCGGTTTCGCGCTTTATCGCTGGCGGGAAAACTGAGTAGGCAAGGCACAGATCATATTTACACCCCACTTATTTTGCATCTTCATCACTCAGTTCGAAGCCCAGCGGCTGTATATTATTTCCAATTCAATATTTCGAAATGAACGTTTTCGAAATATGTTTTTATTACAGAAAGCTGTTAATCTCTCTTTCCATTTTCGTTTCTCCCCCAATTTTTGTAATCTGACTATAGTGATTCTACATTGTATACTTTAACACCATTCATGAGAGCGCAGCCTAATACTGTACATACCTCTCAAAGAATGCTGAACTAGTTGACACTCAATGGATGTAAATCCTAGCCAAAAGCTCCTCCCATTCGCACGCAAGATGGCCAGTCAGATAAAGAAAAATCATTTTCTTTATAAAAGACAATAAATTAAATACTGTGTTTTTTTTTTAATGCTGCTTCTTTTTTAGTGAGCATGTCTTCATTATTTTTTCCTACTTACAAATTAAATGCCTGCTGCTGCTTTTCTACTCGTATAAACGCTGCACTCTAATTCATATCTTACACGAATAAATGCTTTCATTTCTTTTAATGTGTAGAAGAGTTTTCTATGTGTATAGATTTAAAGTATTGAATATATGCATGTATGTCCGTTTCATAAATTTGGGTAAGATAAATAGATATGCAGTTTGTATGTAATAATTAAAATACACATTTTTTTTTTTTTTTTTTTTTGCGTGCAGGTGTCGGTAGTAGTCTGGGAACTAAGCCACTAGTCGTAACTTTACTATCACATATTATTTGGTTATTTCTCATTCCGTCTATCTCATGAAAGTTGCAAACGGCAGCAAACACTTATTCACACAAAGCTACACACTTTTGGCCAATATTGATAGCAGTTTCTAATAATTCTAATCTTCCGCAGCAGGACGATAGTAGTATTTTATAGAAAAATAGTATAGACTGTAGTATTTATAGAAAAATTCTATTTATGAAATTATGAGTTCCAGTGTTTCATTACGTATTTACTCAATCTATAAAATTTAACCATCCGTAGATAATTCGTGAATTGAACAGTAAAAACTGGAAAATAAACATAAATTTTCATCCCAAGGATTTTGCATTTGTTTTAACTGCTCAACTGTTATGTGCTGTGGATTAAATATTTGCTTTCTTTTTCTCACTGTACTTCTCTTCTTATTATTAGGAACTGACGATTCTAAAGCATTTAATCTGAGCGACCCATTTTAAAAGCTTTTATTTAGCTCACTGATGATGTTTGTCTTATAGTGAAAAGTTTCTCATTAGCGACTTTCCAATAAACTATTGAACTCAAATTTCAAATTTTGGGCGTACGCTGTTTGTTGATGACAATACAATGCGTGAAGCGATTTTTTTTTTTTTTTTTTTTTTTTTTTTTTTTTTTTTTTTTTTCAAAATTCGATTTAGATTTTTCGCACATATCTTCGTTTAATGAGCAAACCTCGGAGTTTTACTGTTTGCACCAGTGGATAGAGCATATAAAAAATTCCTTCAAATGAATCTTTTATGAGATTTTAACATTATTTTTAACATAGTTTATGACTTATCCCAAAAGAGCCTTAGCTGAGAAGGGCTATTAGTCTCGAAACGGGATTTTGCGTTGAACCACTTTTCAAATTGTTGCCAGCAAATATTATCGCCCTGTATTATTTTTAAATAAATTAAGTAAAGGAGAATGTGCATGAATGTAGGTATACTTCTCGCACTGAGAAAAAAGAGACGGTACCTAGAGCCGTCAAATTCTGAATAACGTAATCCTCTACCCCAACATGGGCACCTGGAAGCCCGAATTTTGAATTTCGAATTTGTTTTATTATCTATTTCACATCTTGTAAAACTTTAACGAATTTTTATTAACAAACTCAATGATTTCAAAGCTAGGAATGGCAACACTGCACAGAAGGAGGGGGGAAATATTTTTATCTCCAGCCCGCGAGACTATGTATCGAAATTCTAAAGACATGATGTTTTTTAAATATTTTGTGATGTTGTTGAATTGAATTTTATGTGGTTTAAGTGCGAAGAACATGATATGTAATAAATAAAGGTGACACACAAAACGTTAAAAAAAAACTCACATTGGGCGTAATATAAAATCTGAAAGCTTTCAGTTCCCCCCTTACCCCACAAAAAAAAAGCTGAATTTTTTCGACCATTAGACGTAAGAGAATTGTTGGGAGTGAAAGGAGTGCTTACTCGTTGTTGAAAAATAATTTGTCAATTGAATAATTTGATTGAGGACGTGCCATAGGGGATAAAAATTAATTAATTGCAAAAGGAGTTTTTATAATTTAAGCTCTTATTTAAAAAACTCGTAAAACCATTAATAACCTGAAAGGAGAAAATGCTTTATTATATAGTTTAATGGGAATGAGATTAAATAATTCTCTGTACAAAATTTATCTACGTCTTTAAGACGTGAATAATAGTACGTGCTCGCCTAAATAACGAAATCGAATAATCGGATCGCATAATCAAATGTATAAGCCATTACTTTTATATGTATATTTATCAAGGGCGCCACACGCTTTTCTTACTCGTGATATGAAAATATAGCTGAATTTTGCAAAGAGAATTATTTAATCTCTTGATCCCATTAAACTAGTTAAAGATTTAATTTAATTACCTTAAAATGTGCCAGTAATGGCAGTCTTGGAAATGATAGACTTTGTATCAAGATATTAAAGAACTGTTATTAATTTAAAAACGCATGTCCTTGCTGAACATGAGGAAATTCCCCAAAATCTGGAAAGTCAGACCTTTTGGTTGCTGGAATTCGAAATATATCAGCTTTCAATGGTCTAATGCACCACTACCAGCGCTAGTTAATAGAAGGATTACTATGTAATGGTAAATAAAATATGCTGAAAGATGAAGAATATGCAAGATGTATATGTGCTTTTAAAATTTATTCCTGCAATGTATTTGCCAAAAGGCTTAAGAACTTAGCAGTTCTGATCTGAATCCTCAAAAGTGACTAGCGATTTTTTTTATTTTTTGTGACCGCGTATGTTCTTGTCATTAACTTCTACCGGTAGAGCTTGATGTGCATAATAAAAGCTATCACAGGTTAGATGGATAATGTTAAATAGTTAACGTATGATTGCTGTCAAGTTTTGTTCTTGCTGTCAGGTAACTGAACTAGAGCTTAATTTCTTTATAAGATTGATTAATGTAGTATGTATTAATTTGCATTGACCCGATTCTTCTTGTTTATAGGAAGGTGTGCCGGAACTGCAAGTGCCCCCGGGAGGAGCACGAGGGGGCGTCCGGCGTGTCTAATATGGCGGAGAGCGAACGCATCGTTCACAAGATGGCTGCTCACTTCGGCGGCGGGGGCGGCGCTGGGTCCCCCTCCGACCGCCACTCGCATTCCGACGATGATTCGGGATGCGCGCTTGAGGAATATACATGGGTGCCGCCAGGACTAAAGCCTGAACAGGTATGTCATTGTGTTTGGTATGATAATTTCAATAACTTTTCAGTTACATGCAAATGCATTGCAACAAACATATTCATAGCTTTGTTTCTAAATTAACTGATAAATACAATTTTAAGTTGTATAATTTAATCGGCTTTGGAGAAATAATGAATGCATATTTAAGTTAAACAGTTGCATTTTAAATGAAATTGCTTTTTAGGATCATCTTAAATATAGTCGACCTATTGACTATATACTTTCTCAACTTTCTGTTGGTAGGAATCCCCTCTTCAACTTTTAATTTGCTGAGCTTTCCCTTCGAATTTGTTCAGCGTCCCTTACCGTGCAGGCACGGAATGCAGGCGCATAAAATTCTCCAAGTATGTATTGCACTTGCACTACATCAAATTTTTAATAAAAACTCATCACACCATATGGAAACAGCATTAATGATTCAAGATTTTGCACAACATTTGTAATAAGGAACCTGCAAAATACGTGTTAATAATTGTCACAACACGGGGAGTAGTATATATTGAAAGTATAAGCTATTTGGGTTTACTGGAAACCACTGCAATTAAGTCTCTGAGGCTTAGTTTTTAAAATATTGACTGGTAGTGTAAAGACCTTATTTTATTCTAAACAACTATTTTTAGTTTAAAGAAACTTTCCCTTCCCTTTTAATTTCAATTTCCTGCCAGAATGTAAATTTAAAGAAGTGTGCAAATCTAAGTGAGCTGAAAACAGTACTTAGTGCAATACAGTACTTAAAGAGCAATTTTAAGTGATCGCGGTAGGATAGTTAGTTCTGAGTTTATGACGCGTGGGTGGATTTAGCAACATTGCACAGGTTCGGCTTTCCTGTGTGCAGCCGATTTAGCGGTTTAGATAAAGAAGGAGCCAATCGCGTACCCAGTCTTACTTTATTGTGATTGTATATCTTATTTTCTGTTCGAGTTACTTAGCCACAAGTAGTGGTTAAATTATGAGTATCGAGTGAGTGCGTTTGTTCAGTTTAGTATTAAAATAAAAAGGTTATTGTAACCTTCTTCTGCAGTTATCTGTACTTTCAAGATCTAGCGAGAATTCGCTACTCAGTCTTTCAGTAGGGGTCTTACCAGTTGATGATCCCGAAAGACACTGTTAACCAGAGAACAGGGGCTCCATTACCTAGCTGACATGATGTCTGCCTTACACGGATTAAAGCCCTTGCCTCCAGAAGCTATTTATTATGACTAAGCAGAATAAGTTTACAGTGGCATACAAGGCCTTCAAGAACACAAGAAATAAGTAACATAGTCATAAAAGACCCTAAAGAAAGCATGTTACAAGTAGTACCTATAGCATTCAAACAATAAACCGAGTATACTTTCATAATTTGTACTGAAAATACGAAATACTTTCAAACAATAGTTGTTAAGATCATTTGTAACGTTTGGAATGGAAGAATGAAACCGCTTGGACAAATTTGTATGAAGGGTCGACTGCCATGATGGTATGATTCACGCAAAGATGCTTTACTGTAATATTTATATAATAAAGTTAATGTTTCAATAATTTTTTTAGAACTAAAGTTTGGCAGCATGCTCTTGTTCTCCAGTTGCTTTTTATTGTCTCCTTACTGCTCTCCTGACCAGTAACACCCCAGAAATCTCAGCGCCTGCTAGTAGTCGATAACGCCCATAATTAGCAACTATGAACTTAACAGATAAAGCTTTCAATCAGAATGTACATATAAGCCGTAGCTTCTGAGAGTTGCTTTTATGGATATCGTTTCCGAAAGAAGCTGCCTTTAATAGGAATAGTGAGTTTAGTTCAAAATTCCTTAATCTTCATTGAGATGTGAAACAGATTTAAATGTATGAAAACTATATTGTACTCTGAATAAAATTCAGCAATGAAAGGCGCTACAATAGTACATATATAGTAATACTTAACTCGCGGTAAAGCGCGTGGGGTGTATCATACCCCAACCCTACATAAAAGTGGAATATTCCTAACTTGTGAAACTGAAATTCTGTGCTGCTTTCAGTATCTGAGTTTCTAGTTGTGGTTGACTTTCAGAACCGCTTTTCCTTGTCTGTGTGTTCAGGAAAGATTTATCGGTATTGTTGGAACTGGGGTATGACACACCCCAGCGCCTGTCCGTGTAAGTGTTTTCTGACTGAATATTAGTTCAGAAAGATTTTAAAGTGTAACAGTAAAATATTTCTACTCGCAGTGATTTAAAGTACTTGACATTAAATTCTTAAAATTTCTAACTGCATTATGTAAAAAAAAAAAATTGAGTCCCTATGACTGGAGATGCAATGGCTGTGAGATTTATTAGAAATATTTGAAAGCGATGAGATTGCATTTCGGAAACTGAAGATGAACTAAGAATATTTTTACAATGTTTTGGTTTCGAAAAGATGAAACATTAATTCCTGATGTTCCTAAAAAAGGAAACTATTCTTATGCTTTCAACATATTAAACGATCATATATAGATGATACTATTTGCAGAAAATAAAACGTCAGGAATGATATGTTTTAATAATATGACTAAGGAGCAGTGATATGGGGGATGGAATGTCAGCCAATTATTCAATTGCCAGAATAACAAGGAGGTGGCCAATTGAAATTTTCTTCCTGAATGAATGTTGCTGTAATAAATGCTTGATTATATTACATTCAACTGCTAATCCACCAACCAGAAACAGAAGTCTGTTTTTGAAGGACTTAGCATTATAATTAATGAAAAAAATATTGAACAAAGATCAGAGATTAATACTTTTCCAAGGAATTGATGTACTGCATGCAAAACAAAAGCAGAAGTTTCGACGAAGAATTAAACGAGATATGAATTCGAAAACAACTAAGTGAAAGATGTGATAAATTTTTGCTCTCGCGCCAAGACAGAAGAACGTCAATGCAATGTTTAAAATGTGGAAACATTCTGTGCCAAGAACACTTGAATGTATTTCGTTCAAAATATGAAGAAATAAAATAAGTATGGTATATTAAAGATGCAGTGAAACTTAGAGGCATGATTTTATTTTTTTATTATTTTCATTTAATTTTAACTCTAAGATTATTTCGGAAATTAATTTTTTGAAACCCAATTATTATTCACGTATTTATAACACGCGAGAACCAAAAAAAAAGTTTTAAAACTAAATAATACTATTTTTATCATATTTTAAATATTGGGGTATGTGATACCCCACGCGCCCACTCTAGTAACTTTTCTTGGTGCGACTTCCGCCGGGTTAATGCACAAGTCAATCGGCCGATAGAAATTTCGCACTTGTTTTACGTCAACGTCATATTTATTATGCGTATAATGATTAGATTCATGATGTACCGTTTCGCGGCAAATTATTTTATGATAGTCACGAAATTAAAATCCTGTAATTTGTGATAATCTGAGCTTAAATATGCAAAGAATTACCAATCCAGTGTTCCAAATACAGATAAACCATTCCTCATCATTCCAACCGTTGTATAATACTCCATGCTATGTAATAAGGTAATGCGAAAATTAAAAGAAGCCCTTTATAGCGGTGTTCGTTGCCCGGTCGGTATCTTATAAAGGTAATAAAAGGTTTGTAAGTGGACTAAAAAGCACTGCAAACCAGAAAGTTAATTTATCTTGCGTCTGCGGTCTTAAAGCACGTGACCTAGAATAAATGCAAAAATTGTTTTAAATGTAAACGTTAACACTGCATTTAATTGAAGTTAGAAAGTAAAGAAATAAACTTCATAAGAAAACCGAAATGAAGTTCTTATGTTAATATTAAATTGTTAGTCTGGTAAATAATCTGATGGTGTTAGGAGGCTCTGATATTTAATTTCCGATACTTTCGGAACCGGTTTTTTCAATAGCGTAATGCATAATTTTCAATTAAGTGTAAAAAAATCATTATTATATTTAATTTTATTTTCTAAATACTTCAAAAGAAAATATTTTCGAAACTTCTCAGAAATGCCGTTTTAGTCTTTAACTTCCTTTGACTTTCTTGCAGTTGTTGCTTCTAGACTTGGCTTGCGAGACCATTACGTTAATAATAATTTTGAATGGAATTTGAGAGTATCTATTACTATGTCCGTAACTCTTGGAGTATTAAGAGGATGGGCTGTGTAGCAGGTTGTGGTCTCTGCTGTTGATCATATGTATGTGTGGATGGTGGCGAATCTCATTTTCGGCCGCAGGTGCAGTGTTCGGCAGCTGCCAACCGTGTAATGACGTGGTGGGGTCGTGGAGGAAAGTAATTACGCCACGCCTCAGCATCTCATCTGTACCTCCATCCCCTCCTCTTCTACCTGTATAATGTTCCCTCTACCAAATTAGCATTGGATAGTTGTGTTTCCCTCTCAGAAGACTGAGCAATCCTAGGAATTTCTGCGTGTTACTGCTAATACTATGTTTGATTTTGTTGACTGTATGTTAGTATGTGCTTTAGTCGTCAAACTATCAATGACTTACCAGTGTCTAGTTTAGTTAGTGTCGACAGTCAGTTACATTCATTAGCTAGTTAACGGTTTGTCATCGCTAACGTTTATAGCACAATAACTTTGAGAGTTAGCTTTTGAAAACATGATTTAAACACATGGACAAGTATCTCAACTGTCTCTTTCCAGAACTATGCACTGTCATCTAAACTTCTTTCAGAATAGCGTCCACTGTCATCCTGTATGTAAACTGCACATTGTCTGCTGGATATGTTTTTTTTTTTTTTTTTTTTTTTGATTGATGTTATTTGTAACACGTTAAAATTTCATAAAATGTTTTATAATTATTTTTATTTGACCTACTAACAAAAATTAGAAGACAAAGGCAACATTCAGTTAAAAGTAATAAAAATAACCTAAATTTTGGTTTGCTGTTTTTGGTTTTGTGAATGTGAAGAAGAAAAAACTATTCCTTAATTAAGGATTTTTAGCGTTAGCCCAGAGGGGCTATTAATTTCATTTTGTCATTTTGTGGCGTTTCACTTTTTAGATTGTTGCCACCAAATATTATCGCCCTAATTAAATAAT